AAAAAAAAAAAAAAAAAAAAAAAAAAAAACTAGGCTTATACCTTCACATGAATATCTACTTTAGTCTGTGTGGATTTGCAAGCATAGTCCAGTTATGTGGATTCATATTATGAATCCAGAAGATACTGAAGAATGAGTTGAGAATTTTGCATGTATCCTGCTCTTTGGTGCCTTGAAACATGTAGAATGTCAGGGGCGGTCAGGAGAGGGCAGCTCCAGGTGTTTCAGGTGGAGTGATGGTTCTTTGCTAGAATGCAGGGAAAGTTCTAGAACTGAGGCCAGATGGAGTTGGCTCTTAGAAAAAGGAGGTGTCGGCCACTACTACTGTTCTTTCCTACAGTAAGATAAGCTACGGATGATGACTTGACTTTATTAGCTTCTGTTGGATTCTCTGGTTAGATTTCATTAACGTGAGACTAGGCGGCAGGACTGGAGAAATGTTGGGCTTTTGTTGCGCCCTGTGTGTCTGTCTGAATGTCACAGCCGTCAGCCCTGGGATCCTGCAGGTGACTTCCTGGCTGACTTTTGTCCCTTCCATTCTGCAGATTCCAGACGGTGGCCCAGATGGTGAGAGTCTGGAGGAATGAATGTCTGAGAGTCTTCCACGACCGGCTGATCAGTGAAACAGACAAGCAGCTGGTCAGTACCTCCAGTGCACCAGCAAGTGCAAAACTCAGCCAGAAAATTCTTCTCAGGAAAATAAACAAGCGCCAAAAGTGTTTTTTATATAGGACACAAATTGCAGAAAAATAGGCACGAGAGGTCAATGGGGCAAAGGAGGGTGGGTTGGTTATTAAGCACCTTGCAGCAACTGAAAAAAAATAGAATGCAAATGATTTTAGATAATAATAGCGTATCCTCTGTTCCTAACAAGTTTTAGCCCATGTACTGTTGTTGAGTTTGGGTCCTTAAGTGGGCGTCTGTTTCAAGGTACAACAGCACTTAGGTGATTTGGTTACGGAACATTTTAACGATGACGTGGAGGTGGTGATGAGGGATCCCATATTGTTTGGAGACTTCCGGATGGCTCTGCACGAGGGAGAACCACGCATTTATGAAGACATCCAGGACTACGAGGCGGCCAAGGCTCTGTTCCAGGTGGGGATGAGCCCCACCCTGTCCGTGGGCTCGCTTTCTCCTGAGCATGGGCCAAGCGGGAGCTGAACGTGGCGTGGGTGCCCAGGAGCCTAACACCTGTGGCTCTGTCTGAGGGCTTGAAATACGGACTTCTGTCTGGTCCGGTGGTGCCCATATCCAGCATGCTTGGGAGTGACGTTAGGAAATTGTTAAACAGACTCCTGGGCCACCCCGTGAGATTTGCTGCGCTGGGTCCATGGAGGGTCCCCAGTTCTGGTGCACAGCCAGGTTTGGGAACCACTTGTTTGACTCCCTGATATTCATTTCATTTAATTCATGAGATGAGCCTTGGTACCTGCTTTGGGTCGCTGCTGGCCAGTCAAAGCCCAGCAGATGGAAATCTTGATTGTGAAAGCTAGATTAATCCCCGAGACCCAAACAGTTTAATTATTTTAACTACTGCAGATGTTCAGAAAAATCTCTCTTCCATTCTTAATCTCCTCTGGACAAAAGGAGGGAGTCTGTCTCTTAAAATCCAGTGATCCCTTAAAACATTATTTATTTATTTATTTACTTAGAGACAGGGTCTCTCTCTGTCACCCAGGCCACAGTGCAGTGGTGTGATCACGGCTCTCTGCAGCCTCAACCTCCTGGGCTCAAGTGATCTTCCTGCCTCAGCCTCCCAAGTAGCCGGGACTATGGGCACATATCACCGTGCCCAGCTAATGGTTTTGTTTTTATTTTTGTAGAGACAGAGTCTTGCTCCATGGCCCAGGTTGGTCTCGAACTCCTGTGCTCAAGTTATCCTCCCTCCTCAGCCTCCCAAAGTGCTAGGATTACAGGCATGAGCCACTGTGCTGGGTTTTAAATTCTATTTTTTAAAAATTATTATACTTTAAGTTCTAGGGTACATGTGCACAACGTGCAGGTTTGTTACATATGTATACGTGTGCCATATTGGTGTGCTGCACCCATTAACTCGTCATTTACATTAGGTATATCTCCTAATGCTATACCTCCCCTCTACCCCCACCCCACAACAGGCCCC